AGATAGAAACATCAATGATGAGAGAATCATTGATCAGCTGCCTCCTGCATGTCCCACACCGGGGATTGAGTTCTCAACTTGGGCATCTGCCCTGACCAGGGATTGAACCGTGACTTCCTAGTTCATAGGTTGATGCTTAACCACTGAGCCAGCTGGGCTGTATATTTTCCTGTTACTAATTAGCACCCTTTCAGTTAAGCTCAGAGAGTTCCTTTGACATTTCTTGTAAAGATGGTTTAATAATGATGAACTTTAGCTTGTCTGGAACACTTTATCTCCAATTCTGAATGACAGCACTGTCAGTAGGGTATTCTTGGTGGGAATTTTTTGTCTTTCAGCACTTTTAATATATTGTGCCACACACCCTTGGCCTGCAAAGTTTAATTGAGAAAACTGAGTCTTAGAGAGGTTTTCTTTTATGTAAAAATTATTTTTTTCTTGCTGCTTTTATGATTCTCTTTTTTTCTTTTATTTTTGACACTTTAGTTATAATGTGTCGTGGTCTCTCTCTCTCTCTCTCTAACCTCTTTGGTTTTCTGAATCTGGACATCTATTTCCTACTCCAGGTTAGAGAAGTTTTCAGTCATTATTTCTTCAGATAAAGTTTCTGTATATGAATGTCTGTAATATGAATGTCTGTCTGCTTGATGTTGTTCCGTAAGTCCCTTACACTATCCTCACTTTTTTCATTCTTTTTCTTTTTGCTGCTCTGGTTGGGTGAGTTTGACTGCCTTGCCCTGTTCACTGATCCTTTCTTCTGCTTCATTTAATCTGCTGTTGGACCTCTGTAGTGTATTTTTCAGGTTAGTTACTGTATTAAGGTCTGTGAGTTCTATTCGGTACTCCCTTATATTTTTTACGTCTTTTTTTAAGGTCTCACTATGTTCCTCCATTATTCTCCCACGTTTGGTGAGCATTCTTATGACCATTATTTTGAACTGCTTATCGGATAAATCACTTTCTTTTCATTAAGGTCTTCTTCTAAGGTGTATTTTGTTTTCATTTGGAACATACTCCTTTGTTTCTTCATTTTCCTTAACTCTCTATGTTGGTTTCTATGCATTAGATCAAACAGCCACCTCTCCCAACCTGAAGGAGTGGCCTCATGAGGAGATTAGCCTTGTTGCTCAACCTTGCCCTAGCTTTTAGTTGTCTCTCAATCCTGTGGTTGCCCAAGCAGCCTTTTTTATTTTCAGTGGCTCCTAGTATTTGAGGTTGTGTTAAGAGTTGTCTGTATCCCAAAGGGGAAGATTTCAATCAACACCTAGATTTAGGCTGATTGGAAAATAGACATCAACAACAGCTTTTTAACTATGCAAAAAGCACCCCCCTCACCCCCGTGGGACTGTGAGTGTAAGCCCCACTATTCACTAGAGCCAGGTGATCTAGAGGTGCCACAAAAATTGGGGTGCTAAGTGATGGCACAATCTCCTTTCTGGCAGATACTGGTGATCTGTAGTGAAGCAGAGAAAGAGTGCAAAGGTAGCATCTCTGAGCCTCTGTTTTAGAGAGTACCTCAGTCGCCTCTATACATGTGCCTATCCAGAAAATCTGCCTCTCGTCAGTGCTTCAGGAAAGCAAATAGGCCTTTTTTAAAGAAAGACTGTGGTATACTTTAGTCTGCGGAATGTGCTGTGCTCTAGGGATGGTCTCCCCATTTGTTATAGTCCTATGGGACACAGGAATGCAAACCCTGCTGGCCATCAGAACCAGGCAATCCAGTGGCATACCCTGAGTAGCAACCTCCAAACCTGAGGCACCAGGTGCATGTACAAGCTGCCCTCTGGGAGATCCTGGTGCTCTGGGGCAGGTGGAGGGAGAGTATGGAGATAGCATCTGCCCTCCAAATTCTCTGAGAGGTTTATGTACAGTCGGCCCTAAGGTCTGTGTTTAATTAGAAACCTGCCTCTCAGGCAGCAGCTGTGAGGAAGGGGTGGGGATGATGAGAGCCTGCAGGTGGGGCCTCAGCAGACTCATCCTGAGAGCTTCAGTCCCTGAGTAAAGCTCAAGGGGTCAGACTTGGGACAGAGGAAGCAAAGGTTGTTACAACTTCAGAGTAGGAGTGACTGAGTGCGGGAAAGTGCTCAACCAGAGCTGGTTCTGAAAGGAGGAGGTAGGCAGAGACGCTGGAAACAGTGAAATGATCCTTCAAAATGACCAACTTCTAATTTTTTATCTGCTATTTCTGAGCTTTAAATTTTCCTTAAATTAAAAAAAAAAAAGATTACTGGTTTTAAAAGTCATGTGGCTTTTGGCTTGCATTTCAGATATTGTTTGACCAGATAAAAATCTCCACACAACTTCTTGATAAGTTTGTAAAGGAAGAACCTGAGAGTCCTATCAACCACAAAAGAGAGACAGGTATATTGGGAAATAACAAGTTTTCGTACTCTGAATGCCCTATAAACATAATGATAAAACCTTACTTGGAAGAGGTCACTGAAGACCTATGATCATATAAGAGTAATAACTGTATTATTGTGCCTTTGGAGAAAGAAAACTGCTAAGAGCCTTGAATCATTTTGCCCACCTGATACAGTCTCTCTTCTGGGTCAGTTGGAAATAAAGGAGAAAACATGATGTGGGTGGCAGGCAGCAGGAGACAGGGTGTGCAGGAGCATCTACCTACAAAGCTGACCCCACACACATCACGTACCCCTTATGAGTTACAGCCCCAGGCTGCTTTCTGTAGCCACTATAGATTTACCAGCTCTTACCAAAATATGGTGATGTCGCTACACTGAGGGTCCCATGAAGAGCACTTGGAGAGAGTGCCCACTGTCGTGCATGGATATTGTGATCACCTTTATATGCTCTTTTCTTAATGTGATAGACCAGGCAGAAGAATCCACCAAGCTGGCAGAGTTAACACCTGCCGAAGCTGACTGCTGCCTAATAACTATCCCCTTAAACGACCAGTCTGAGCTTTCTGTGAGTATGGGGTGTGGGGGACAAGATTCTGAACTGTGTCCACTAGATGCCAACAGGTAGAAGCACTCTCCTGGCTTGTAGTCCATTTTCTCCAGGCTAACCATCTGTCTCTGGTTTGACCATCCCCTCCTTTAGATTATTTTTGCCTGTCATGATTATGTGATCTCTGCTTTCTCTAACTTGGCTCTCTCATGGAATGAGTGACTTGGTGGGCTCTGCCTCATTCCCTCATTTGGGATCTGGTGACTGAGATGGAGGGAAAGGAGCCTAATCTTCGGGGATATACCTGTTTTTTACTTACTACCTGTGGGAACTTGGACAAGTTTCCTAACATCACTGAGCCTGAAGATTCCCATCTCTAAAACAGAGGTGATAGCTGGTTCTCAATGTGAATCTCTGCGATCAAAAACAGAATGTGTGTTGCCGAAACCGGTTTGGCTCAGTGGATAGAGCGTCGGCCTGCGGACTGAAAGGTCCCAGGTTCGATTCCGGTCAAGGGCATGTACTTGGGTTGCAGGCACATCCCCAGTAGGAGATGTGCAGGAGGCAGCTGATCAATGTTTCTCTCTCATCGATGTTTCTAACTCTCTGTCTCTCCCCTTTCCTCTCTGTAAAAAAGCAATAAAATATATTAAAAAATAAATAAATAAAAATGGGCATTTAAAAAAAAAAACAACAGAATGTGTGTATAGCACCTAACACACTGCTTAGCATGGATAAGTATTCTGCCCCTTCTCCTTTGCTTATATTTGATTATCTGGACACATCATACAGAAGTGTGATGGCATTGTAATGGTGTTTTAAAAACAAACATACCAAAGTTTACTCCTTTAGATAGTCAGTCTCCTTGTCAGGTTATGCATTTATCCCAACAATTTTGATGCTATTAAAGACAGTTTTTGTAAGTCTTCCTTTGATGTTTCCCTTAGTAACTTTGGAATGCTGTGATTGTTTCTGATAGTGGCAAATTTTTGCCTGAGAATGAATATCAATTTATTAGAATAGCCAACTCTAATAAATAAAGAGCCTTGTATCTTAGTATTCAATGGAAATGCTTTTCTTTGGAGGTGGCTCCAAAAGAATGATAAAAGAGGGCTTCAAAGACACCATAATTAAACACATATTTTTTTTCTGCAGCAAACAAAGATAGCTGATAGTTCGCCTGAAAAATTGAAACTGGGTGATATGCAACAAGGTCAGATTTTTAAAATCTATCATAAATAAGTCTTGAATGGTATTTTATATTTAAATATTTAATTGAGAAACTTTTTTTGTTTTTAATTCCCATTAGAAGTTCCTTCAAAACATGAGCATTCTTCAGATTTACAAGAGCAATCAGGAAAAATCCTGGTTCCTAAATTAAAAGATAAATCCAGGTAAATGATTTTCAAAACTAACCAATTATGTAGATTGCTGTTAATGTGACTAGTTAATGCACAAGTCAACAGTTTAGGTCTGTGGTATATAGGTAGGTACATTGTTATTAACTTAATTAGGGTACTCCTAAGGCTTAGGAAGAGCCACACTCAAGGGGCCAAAACGCAGCATGTGGCTCGCGAGCCGTAGTTTGCCGATCACAGATTATCCCTCTTTCCTGGACCTGGCCACGCCCCACAAAAGGAGAGAGCACTGTGTGCAATTTTCTGTAGGATTAGAGCAGAGGTGGCATGTTCTCCTGACTTATAGGTCTCTACCATTATACCCCCAGTGCTTTCTTTTGTGATGTATTTTTCTGCAGCAAAACATTGAATATCCCCAATAAGAAAAATATATATAATTGGCATTAATTAATTGGCCACTTTTCCATATAGGCCTCTGAAGAACAGATCATAAGACAAGTGATTTTTTTATGGTTTGAGACATAATTAAAATGAATTAAACTGTACATATGTTAAGTGTATAATTTAATGAGTTTTGACATATGTCTACACCCAGGAACCATGCCCACAAGCAGATAATGACCAATCATCACCAAGAATATCTTCCTGACCCTTTGAACTCCCTCCCTCCTGCCCTTCTTTATACCCCTCCCATCCCCACTGCAATCACTGATCTATTTTCTGTGACAGATAAGTTTGCTGTTTTAAAAATCATATAGAAATGGAATCAAACAGAAGCTATTTTTCTAGCTTCTTTTTTGTGTGTAATTATTTTGAGATTCATTCATGTTGTATGATCAGCTGTTCATTCTTCTATATTGCCCAGTGGTGTTCCATTGTATGGGTGGATATACTGCAAGCTGTTTATCATTCACCTGTTGATTGACATTTGAGTTGTTTCCAGCTTTTTGTTGTTATAAGTGAAGTCCTTAGGATTCATGTATAAGTCTTTGCAGGGACACATGTTTTCTTTTCTCTTGGGATGGAGTGGAATGGTTGGATCATTGTTGGTGTATGTTAATTTTTTAAAAAAATACTGTCAAATTGCTTTCCAAAGTGGTTGCATCATTTTACATTCCCATCAACAACTTTTGAGAGTTCTAGATGGTAGACATTCTTGCCAGTAGTTGGTAATGTCTTCCTTATCTTGCTATTGCAATGGAAGTTTAGTGGTATTTCATGTGGCTTTAATTTGCATTTCCTTTATTTGTAACAGACCCAAACTAGAAACATCCCAAATGTCCATCAATAGATGAATGGATAAACAAATTTTGTTATATACATACAGTGGAATAGTGCTCAGAAATAAAAATAAATTAACTATTGATATAGACAACATGAATGACTCTCCACATAATACCAAGTCAAAGAAGCCAGACAAAAAAAGAGTATGTATTGTATGATTCCATTTACATAAAATACTAGAAAATGCAAACTAATCTCTAGAAACAGAAAAATCAATGATTGCCTGGAAATGGGGGTTCATTGGCCCCTTTTTTTTTTACTGTGATAAGAACAGTTAACATGAGCTTTGCTCTCTTAATAAAATTGTATGTGCCCAAACAATATTGTTAACTGTAGGCACATTATTATACAACAGATTTCTAGGACTCATTTATCTTGTGTAATTGAAACTATACTTGTTGAATAGCAACTTTGCATTTTTTCCTCCCTTCAGTCCCTGGAAATCACCATCTTATTCACCCTTTCTGTGAGTTTGACTCATTCATTCATTCATTCATTCATTCATTTCCTCACCCAAGGATATGTTTTATTGATTTTAGAGAGAGAGGGAAGGGGGGTGGGAGAAAGAGAAACATTGATGTGAGAGAGAAACAGACCAGTTGCCTCCTGTACACATCCCAGCTGGGCATCAAACTTGCAACCTAGGTATGTGCCCTGACCAGAAATCAAACCCACAACCTTTTGGTGTATGGGATTATGCTCCAACCAACTGAGCCAACCACCCAGGGATGAGTTTGACTCTTTTAGATACCTTGTGTAAGTGGAATTGTGCAGTATTTGTCCTGTGACTGGCTTATTTCACTGAGCATAATGTCCTTCAAGTTCATCCATGTTGTTGCACATTGCAGAATTTGCTTCTTTTTTAAGGCTGATGAGTATTCCATTGTATGTATATATCACATTTTGTTTATCCATTCATTCATCTATGGACATTTAAATTGTTTCTGTATCTTGGCTATCTATACTAATAAAAGGGTAATATGCTAATTAGACCAGACATCCATCTGGATGTCCTTCCAGACAAAGCCATGGTGGTGAGGGTCAAGGCAGAGGCAGTTAGGGGTGACCAGGTCAGCAGGGGAGGGCAATTGGGGGTGACCAAGCTGACAGGAGAGGGCAATTAGGGGAGACTAAGCTGGCAGGCAGAGGCAGTTAGGGGCATTCAGGCAGGCAGGCAGAGGTGATAGGGGCAATCAGGCAGGCCGGCAGAGAGGAGGGGCACTCATTCAGGCGGGCAGGCAGAGGTGATAGGGGCAATCAGGCAGGCAGGCAGAGAGGTTAGGGGCAATCAGGCAGGTAGGCAGGTGAGCGGTTAGGAGCCGGTCCTGGATTGGAGAGGGTGCAGGCTGGGCTGAGGGACCTCCCCCCTCCCGTGCATGAATTTCGTGCATCAGGCCTCTAGTTGTAAATAATGCTGCAGTAAACATGGGAGTGAAGATATTTCTTCAATATCCTGATTTCAATTCCATTGGATATATGGGATTTCTAGATCATATAATAGTTCTATTTTTAATTTATTTGAAGAAATTCCATACTGTTTTCTATAGCAACTACACCATTTTACATTCCCATGAATTATGCAAGGGTCCCAATTTTTCCACATCTTCAACAACACTTAGATTTTATTGTTGTTAATCCTCACCTGAGGATATTTTTTCAAATGATTTTTTTTTTTAGAGAGAGTGGAAGGGAGGGAGGAAGGGATGGGGGGATGGATGGAGGGAGGGAGGGAGGTAAGGAGGGAGGGAGAAAGGGAGATAGGATGAAAGAGAGAGAGAGAGAAACGTCAATGTAGGAGAGACACATTGCTTGGTTGCCTCTCACATGCACCCCAACCAGGGCCAGGGATCGAACCTCTAACCCAGGTACGTGTCCTGGACTGGGAGTTGAACTCAAGACCCTTTGGTCCATGAACCAATGCTCTAACCACTGACCCACACTGGCCATGACAAAAGCTATCTTTTTAGCACCCGAGGGGATTCTAAAGCAGAGCCAGACAGGAAGCACTGCTCTGAGCTTTGCCAAAGCTGGCTGCTTATCTGCAGGTCCCACCCTGCCTTCCTCTTTGTATGCCTGACAGAGAAGGGTTCCACAAAGGTTTTTTTTGTTTTAAATAACTAGTTTTTGTCAGGCAGAGGATCTCTGGAAATGGGTTGCAAGTTAAGTTCTGCACAGGTTTTGGTGCTTCCCATGCACGGGGCTCACATCAGACAAAGGGTATATGAAGGGGAAAATAGGGCTGTGAAGGGAAGGAAGGAGGAGGTGATGGTTGTATAGTTCCACTGATTCGATATATTTTGTTTTAGGAAAGAATCTACTTTCAAGGGTGCCAGAAAGCAAGAAAGAAGGATGTCGGTAATGAAGTAACTTTTCTTGTCTGGAGGCATTATTTCCCAAATTTTAGTTACTTGCATACCATCTTCAAAATCTGTTATGGCTCTGCTCTTTATCTCTATTTTTCTCCATTAAATTGATCTTAAACTTATTTTAAAGGGAATTATTTCACTTCCAAATGGAAAATCAGCATGAGTTGTAACAAATAATAAGGCCCCAAATAACACCCTAGCAATAACAGCTATCATATCAAACTGTACTTTTACTTGTATCAGGCTTTGAGGCTACAGCCTGTTCTTGCTTTTAAAGAAAAGATAAGTAGAAGAGAAGGGCTCAAGACCTACTGACACTTGAGATTTATCCTGAATGGAAGCAGACGTGGTAATGAAGTGAAAGAAATGTTTTGCTCTGAGTCAGTGGCATGGTTTTGTTTCTCTGGGCACCAACTTACACCTCTCCAGCTTGTCTGCCACTTTGGGGTGGTCAGTGCTCTAAATCTGTAGTCAGAGCATTAAAAAAAAATCTCTGTAATGAATATTAAATGAAATTTTCTACAAACTTGAGATCATGAGCTTCAAACAAATGAGTTAAGGCTCTTCCTGGCTTGCTTTTAGCAATGGCTCTCACTTTCCACTGCCCATCTTCTAGTTGGAATCATCAGGGGAGCTGATACAAAACCGCAGCCCGATGGTTCTGACTTGGTTGGTCCAGGGGAGAACTCAGGCATTGGGATCTGTTTCAAAGCCCCCTCCTGATATGAGCCAACTTGAAAAACAGCTGCTGTGGGTACTTGCACTTTTTAAAATAACTTTCAGCCCATGAAAGTTATGTATATGTATACACACACACACACACACACACACACACACACACACACAAATTTTTTAAAAATTGATTTCATAGAGGGAGAGGGAGAGGGAGAAAGATAGAAACATCAATGATGAGAGAGAATCATCGATTGGCTGCCTCCTGCACACCCCCTATTGGGGATCGAGCCCACAACCCGGGCATGTGCCCTTGACTGGAATTGAACCCTGGACCCTTCAGTCTGCAGGCCACTGCTCTGTTCACTGAGCAAACCGGCTAGGGTTTCAGCCCTTTTTATAAAGCTAAAGAAAGCAGGAAAGCCTTGCTGTGAGATTTTTTAATTGGGTGCATTCAGTGAAGTGATGCTTGCTCTTTTACAAGACACTGGCTGGGCGACTCTGGAACGAATGTGGGGGTTCCGCCAACCTTTTTTATTTTTTTTTCACAAAAGGAAGATGGAGATAGGCCTGGCTCACAGAGTGCCTTTCACACATGAGCTTCTCTACAAAAAGGTGAACTGCTAAACATTTAAAATAAACTCATTTGGAAAATAGATAGTTCACCATCACCCACCTTAAAGGTTGTGGATTGTGTTATCATCAACAAGGGTGACGCCGCTTCCCACCCTAAGCTGCTCATACGCTTTGCCATTTCAGGCACAGGGTGGATCCTCTAGCTGACATGTGTTAGGTTGAGAAGAGCATGGGAGGTACTGTCACCACTTTGGGATTCCTGGGAATCCTCCCTGACCTGAAATGGGAACGAGCTGTTAGGAGCTGAGTGGTGGAGCCCCTGTTGAGAGAGGCATGGCAGCACCAGGACCGGGGCTCCGGAGGGCACAGGAGACGGGGCTGAAATAGAGAGGTGCTTTATTAAAGTCAAAACACACTTCATGTTAACGTTTCTTTGTTTCAGCATTTCTAAAAATGAATCCAAAAATAGAAAATTTTAAATTAAAAAAAATATATATAAGTATCATTATAGAGCTGAGTAATCCACTAGAACAGATTAAATTGTCCTTAAGTCTCTAACCTTTACAGTTCAGGCTCAGTTTCTTTTTTTAAAATCCCCACTCAAGGATTTATTTTTTATTGATTGGAGAGAGAGGGAGAGGGAAACATCGATGTGAGAGAGAAACATTGATCAATTGCCTCACGGAATCAAACCTGTGGTCCTTCAGTGCATGGGACGACACACTAATTACTGAGCCACACCAGTCAGGGCCTGCTCAATTTCAAAAGGCTTTAAGGTTTAAATGAAAAGGACCCTCTTATTTTTATTTTCGTTCCTCTAAAATGTAGATGGGCATGTCTCTGAAAAAATCATTGTTATACTTTCTTTTGTTGTTTCTGGTAGTATTTTGAAATTACAGTGTTGGCACGATATTGAGGTGCACCAGCTTTTAAACAGCTACTTCGCATCTCTTCAGATGCAAGTATCTGACTAGAGAGGATTTTGTCATCCTTTACAACAGCCGCTTGGCTGAGAACTGACTAATGAAATCATCTGTTTCTTCTTCCCCTCCTTACTTCGGTGCTTTTTTTTAATGTAAGAGACCTTGTTACTCCTCTTTTGTCTAACTTTGTAGTGATATGCTTAATTGTACATAATGGATACGGACACCCCTTTAATAGGGTTCATTTACTATCTGTGTCTGTAGAAGTTCAATTACAGGAGACACCTCTTCTCGGAGAGTAATCAAGATTCAAGTTCTAGTGCTACTGTACTATCTTGGGACATTAACCAAGACAGGAAATCCCTAAAACCATATCCTGGTAGAAGAAAGACAAGAACCAGAAGTAGCTTAAACAGTAAGTTTGGTGCACGTCTTCTTTCGAGTCATTTTTCAAGTAAATCAGCAGGTGTTTATGTCTCAGTATGTGATGCGAAGAGATGTGCGATCCTGGGATTCTCCTTTCCTGCTACAATTACATGGAAAAGGCAAAATGTACATATGTGAAACAGTACAGAAACATGGAAGGGGCCATAACCAGTAAGTACGAGCTATAGATAAGTGGAATGGGAGTTCAGATAAGAGGAATCTGATATGAGCTGGAATCTTCAGGGAAGAGGTGGGTGGGGCCTGAGCTTAGCCTTGGAAAAAGAATAGCTGTGCAGAATGGGGAGCGTTCTAAGTTAGGTAAATCTCCAAGGACAGACGGAGGACCTGGGACCACATTCAGAGACATGATCTGGAGCTGAGCTTTGTGCTGGCTGGTGAGGACCAATGTTGAATCACTAGAAAGGGATCTTAAGAGACAGACATCTGAACCCGTTGTAGGAAACAGGAGTTGCTTCTCGCCTGGATGTGGATAATTGGGAGAGGGATACATGAGTTTTTATATTTGTCATAAGTAAAGTTATCCACTACACTTTTTCCTTTCCTTTCAGTCTTGCCGCTTTTCCCTCCCAGTCCTGCCAGTGATCGTTATAAAGACCAAGTAAGTCAATTTTACCTGGGCTGCCTTGTGCCCTGTGGCATCAGCATGGCACAGGCAGATCTGCTTAGGGTTAAACTGTATTTATTTCTTAAAAAGAAAAAGCAGTGGTTGTAATCCACTGTCAGTTGAAACTGCAAGGACTTCTAAACATTTAGTATGACCTTGGGTAAAGACTTGTGATCTTTCTTCATTGTTCCCAGATGTTGCTTCAAGATTATAATAGTGCTTAAAATCTGGGCTATTCTGATTTACTACAAGTGTGTGTTCTTTTGAGTTTACTTTTAAAAATAAACTTCTTGGTTTAATTTTTCCCTTAGTGTTCAGTTTGTTGATATGTTACTTCCAAAGCTTTTAATGATTTAGACATTTAAACCTTTACTTTGCAAGTGGTTGAAATGCCTTCAGGGTTACGTAAATATTGAATAAACCCTCAAACTTTCTTAATTTCCTTCAATTATCCTTGTTTTATAGAAAAGTAATTAAGAGTGGGAACACCAGTGTCCTCCAGACCAATTCAAAGCCTAATTTTAGCTGAATTACCTCTCTCAGCAGTTGGCTTTTGTTTCTTGTTAAATGAGAACCATCCGGTCTGGCTGCTGGGATTCTGAGGGCATCCACAGCAATGTGGTTAGTGCTCCAGTCATAGCTAGAGGTCTGCCCCCACCCGCCTCCTTCCTTCAGCCAGGGGAGTGCTGCCCACAGTGCATCTCAGGGCCTCTCCAGTCCTCTATGGCAGAGAACGTTTGCCGATTAAACCTGTGAGCCAGAGTAAGTACCCGCATATTTATTCAGCCTGAAACAATGAGTTATCAGTTAGAAATAGACCTGGAGAACAGTGTTTAGTAAATACACCTTATATTTTAAATAAACACCAAAGAAACGTCAAAGCTCCGAGAACCCATAAATTTAAGCTGTGCAAGTGATGAGAAGTCTGTGGAGGGCATTGCTGACTTTGTACAAATAGTGGTATTCAAAATCCACTTCTCTGTGTTGGAGTATAAGAGAATAATTTACAGCAGGGGCCTGCAAACTTTTTCTGCAAACAGCCAGAGAGTAAATATTTTCAACTCTGTGGGCCATATGGTTTCTGTGGCAACTATTCAACTCTGCCATTGTAACACGAAGGCTGCCCTGGACAAAACCGAAACAAATGGGTGTGTTGTGTTCAAATAAAATGTTATTTACCAAAACCTGATTTAGTGCAGTGGTTAACTCTAGTGGTCATCAGAATGGCCAGGAGGGTTTGTTAACATGCAGGTTGCTGGGTTTTGTGCCCAGAGTTTCTGATTGAGTAGATGAGAATTTGCATTTCCATCAGGTTCCCAGGTGTTGCTGATGCCGTGGGCTGGGACCACAATTTGACTTTGAGTTATTTTTTATTTAGAATTATCAACTGATATATGACCTAATGTGCTCCAACTCTGGGGTCTTATAGTCTTGGCATTTCAAATGGAGCAAATCCAACACTTAAACTTTTAAAAAGGATATTGGAAATGCCTTAGAACTTTTTGATGACTTGTCTTGAGTGGTTATGAATGTTAACACTTCTAACATGTACTGTATTTTAGGCTAAACTTTTAACACCATTGTGGAAAGGTGCCTCCAGGCAAAACGACGCCACACATCCAAAAATTTCTGAAACAGAATTTCAGGGTAGTTCTGCCCATTTAATTCCTGAAACCTCTGCCCAGAAAACAGGTATCTGATTTCTGTTGATTTACATAGAAAACAGTTGTATTTTGGGAAAGGTAGTTTGAAATAAAATGTTTTTCTTTTACTGTCTGTTAAAGAAAGTGTGAAAATATGCTGTTCTCCTCTTTAATATTTTCATTGGCAAAAGATAGAGGATGATTAAGTTGTAATTTTACTTTAACAGCTGAGATCAGCTTGTGTATAAATGAATGCTTTGTTCTCTTTTAAAGAAATAAGAAACTCAAATGATGACTTGCTAGCAGGGAGTGGTAAACTTTTTTTGGTAAAGAACTGGATGGTAAATATTTTTTGCTTTTTGGTCCCTATAGTTTCTGCTGCAACTATTTAATTCTGCACTTGCAGCACAAAATCAGCCACAGATAAGATGTAAGTCAATGGGCATTAGCTGTGATTTTATAAAACTTTATTTATAAAACCAGGCAGCAGAAGCGGCATAAGGGGCCAGAGTTTGCCAGCCCTTGACCTATAGGGTTTATCTTAACCACCACTGTATTTTATTGAAACTATTTGCATCTTTTAAACTTGTAAGAGTAGGGGTTTTGTTTCTCTCACCTTTATCATTCTGCAGCTTACTTACCATCCTGCCAGGCACATAATGCCACCAAGAAAGGCAACTGACAACCTTTCAGCTTGGCTGCCGCTGGCAGAAAAGAAGGAAGGAAAAGAAACAAGGAGAGAGGAGAATTAGCAGTAGAGACTAAGAGGAAATAGGGGAGTGGAACTAAGGGAGAGAAGGAGAGGGACCACAGTGTTGAGGCAGTAGAATCCTGGCCCATGAATTTGGGGCCAGATCACATCTATTAAAAATGCTGACCTAATAGAAGGAAGTGGCTATTCATTTTATCTACAGTGCATCTTAGGGCCTCTCAGGTGAACTGCTCACCCAGTAACCATACTTGCCATGAAAGATACAAAGTTTGGGGTTTCCTTTCTTTCAGTTAGTACTGTGTCCCATTGTTTTTGATGGTGAGATTTACCATGTACAGGGACAGTGAAGTGTTAGCGCCTGAAGTTGCTTCATAGTGTGTTCATTCCCTTGAAACTGTTCTCTCTAATACTCAGAACTTACCGAGAGCCCCCACCCACCGAGCAGTGTCTCTTCACTGGAGCACTCAGAAGAACAGAATGTATCTAAGGTACTATTTAATTGTTGGGTTTTCCAGAATTAATGTTATATTTGCATAATGTACTGGCTTATTCCTTCTTAAAGGATAATGTAACATCATTTGTGTTTTATTTGGAAATAAGTATGTACATGTATTTGTGGCCTGTTTGCCTTTTTTTTCAAGACTGTAAACGAAGACTCATTGATGAAAAGTGCTAACCTCAAACATAAACTGGAAAACCTGGAAGACAGAGGTGAGAATACTAAACTCTTTTTGCAGAATTAGACAAAGAAAAATTAATCAGATTTGGGGAGGCTGTGCTATTATTCAGATTGCATCAGATAAACATTGTTGTGAGAGAGAAACATTGATCAATTGCCTCCTGACCGGGGATTGAACCCACAACTTAGGTATGTGCCCTGAGAGGGAATAGAACCTTGTGGTGTCCGGGAAGATACTCCAACCAACTGAGCCACCTGGCTAGGGCTGAATTATTTTCTTGAAACAATGCAACCCTCTAGAAAATATCCATCTGTACTTTTCAAACAAATGAATATTTACCACAGGGGTTTTGTTTCTCTCACCTTTATCATTCTGCAGCTTACCACATTGTCAGGCACATAATGGAACCAAGTAAACATGCGACTGATAACCTCTCAGCTTGGTGATGAACTCTTTTAGCTTTGTTTTTATTTTTTTATGGGAACATTTCTTGTAAATCTAAGCGCAAAGAGAAGAGATAGTGGCTCCTATGGGAGTTGAGAGTATTTGAGAGTTGAAAATTGAGAGTATTTCTTATGCTTTAATTTAACATCAGGAACTGTATTAAAGGGTTGCAGCATTAGGAAGGTTGAGAACCTCTGTAAGACCCTTTAAACCTTTCTTGTAACACTGGTTTGGTGGTCATGAACTCTTTTAGCTTCTTTTATATAGGAAGCCCTTCATCAGTCCTTCAATTCTAAATGATAACTTTGTTGGGTAGAATAATCTTGGTTGTGGGTTCTTGCTTTTCAACACTTTGAATATTTCATGCTACTCCTTTCTGGCCTATAAAGTTTCTGTTGAGAAATCAGCTCACAGTCTTTTTTTTTTAAAAGTCAAATATCTAGAATATCCTGTATTACAATTACTCTTTTTTAAATATGTATTTTTATTTCAGAGAGGAAGGGTGGGAGAGATAGAAACATCAATGATGAGAGAAAATTATTGATCAGCTGTCTCCTGCATGCCCCCCAGTGGGGATCAAGCCCACAAGCTGGGCATGTGCCCTTGATTGGAATCAAACCTGGGACCCTTCAGTCCACATGCTGATGCTCTATCCACTGAGCCAAACTGGTTAGTCAGCTGACAGTTTTACAGGAGCTTCCTGATAAGTAACTAACTGCTTTTCTCTTGTTGCTTTTAAAATTCTCTTTGTCTTTGACCTTTTGTATTTTAATTATGATGTGTCTTGGTGTGGGCCTGTTTGAGTTCATCTTGTTTGGAACTCTCTGTGCTTCCTGAACTTTTATGTCTCTTCCCTTTACCAGGTTAGGGAAGGTTCCTATCACTTTTTCAAATAGGTTTTCAATTTTTTGCTCCCTCTCTTTTCCTTCCGGCACCCCCATGATGTGAGTATTGGTATGCTTGAGGTTGTCTCAGAGGTTCCTTACACTATCCTCATTTTTTCTTCTTCTTTTGGGTATTCTTTGCTTCCTTATATTCCAAATTGCTGATTTGATTCTTGGCTTCATCTACTCTACTATTGATTCCCTGTATATTACTTTTATTTCAATTAGTGTGTTTTTCATTTATTTTTTTTGTCTTAATAACATTTATTATGGAATTATTATTCATAGCACATTATGAAATTATTATGTATTTATTTTTTTTTCCTTTTTTTTTTTTTTAATTTTTTTTTGATTGGAAATGG